TCACATAACACATATTTCTCCAAACTTAAAAATATTTCTAAAATGTGACAAGGTTAAAACCCTTTCACGCTTATAATTTTATTTCTTTATAACCCACTGTCAAATCTCTTCATTTTCGTAGGCATGCAGTTCTCTTTTTATTACTTATATCTAAGATACGATACAAGACTTTGGTCTATTTTTTTCTAAATATAATTAATGCTAAGGACTAGAGGATCCCACCCCCAATTTTTCATATGTTGATGCCATAATCCAAACAAGGCTTTCAGGTTAAGTGAGGCCTCCAGAGAAGACACCTATCCCAATAAGATTAGTGTCCTCGGGAGAGAAGAGGCAGCATAGGCTCTTACACAGAGAAAAGGGCACGTGAGACACACTGCAGTGACACTGGCCTCCTGTTAGCCCAGAGGAAAGATACCTGGAGAAACCAGCTCTGAGACCTGCAGTCAGAGCCTCTGGACTGCGAGAAACTGCCTGTTCTTTAAGTTGTGTAGTCTGCAGGATTTGGTTACGGTGCCCAAGTAGAATAACACATAACATGGGTACTAACGAGTGAGGCTATTTTTTTTTTATTTTATTTTTTCCTTATCAGTTACATTTTATTAACTCTGTTTCCCAGCTGTATCCCGTTCCCTCATTCCCTCCCAATCCCACCCTCCCTCCCTCATCTCCACCCTGCCCCATTCCAAGTCCACTGATGGGGGGGACCTCCTCCCCATTCATCCGATCCTGTTTTATCAGATATCTTCAGGACTGGCTGCAAAGCTCTCCTCTGTGGCCTAACAGGAATGCTCCTCCCTTGGGGGGTGAGGAGGTCAAAGAGCCAGCCATTGAGTTCCTGTTAGAAATAGTCCTTGTTACCCTCACTATGGGAAACCAATTGGTTACTGAGCTACCACGGACTACATCCGAGCAGAGGTTCTAGGTTATATCCATACATGGTCCTTGGTTGAATGTCAGTCTCAGAAAAGACCCTGTGCCCAGATATATTTGGTCCTTGTGGAGCTCCTATCCTTTCCCCATCATACTAACTCCCCTTCTTTCATATGATTCCCTGTACTCTGATGAAGGTTTGGTTATGAGTCTTAGTATCTTGCTTTGAAAACACTGCTAGGTAGAGTCTTTCAGATGCCTTCTGTCATACGTTCAATGCACATCCCATCTGTCTTTCTAAATGAGGATTGATCATCTTACCCCGTGTCTGCTCTCTTGATTATCTTTTTTAGGTGTATAGATTTCATTATGTTTTTCATATCTTATAGGTCTATATGAGTGAATATATACCGTGTTTGTCTTTCTCCTTCTGGGATATTTCACTCAGAATGATCTTTTCTAGATCCCACCACTTGCTTGCAAATTTTATGATTTCCTCCTTTTTGATTGCTGAATAGTATTCCATTGTGTAAAAATACCACAATTTCTGTATCCATTCCTCCGTTGATGGACATCTGGGTTGTTTCCAGGTTCTGGCTATTACAAATAAAGCTGCTGTAAACATGGTTGAGCAAGTATCCCTTTTGTGTACTTGAGCAAATTTTGGATATATACCTAGCAGTGTATAGCTGGGTCTTGAGGAAGCACTAATCCTAATTGTCTGAGAAAGCGCCAGATAGATTTCCAGAGTGGTTGTACCAGTTTACATTCCCACCAGCAGTGGAGGAGGGTTCCCCTTTCTTCACAACCTCTCCAGCATGTGTTGTCACTTGAGTTTTTCATCTTGGCCATTCTGATGGGTGTAAGGTGAAATCTCAGGGTCGTTTTGATTTGCATTTCCCTGATGGCTAATGAGGTTGAGCATTTCTTTAAGTAAGTGTTTCTCTGCCATTCTATATTCCTCTACAGAGAATTCTCTGTTTAGCTCTGTTCCCCATTTTTTTAATTGGATTACTTGGTTTGCTGCTTTTCAGCTTCTTTAGTTCTTTGTATATACTGGATATTAGTCCTCTGTCAGATAAAGGGTTAGTGAAGATTCTTTCCCAATCTGTAGGCAGTTGTTTTGTTTTGATGATGGTGTCCTTTGCTTTACAGAAGCTTTTCAATTTCATGAGGTCCCATTTATTGATTGTTGCTCTTAGAGCCTGTGCTGTTGTTGTTCTGTTCAGGAAGTTGTCTCCTGTGCCAAGGAGTTCAAGGCCCTTCCCCACTTTTTCTTCTAACAGATTTAGAGTATCTGGTTTTATGTTGAGGTCTTTGATCCACTTGGACTTTACTTTTGTACAGGGTGATAAATATGGATCTATTTTCATTTTTCTGCATGTAGACATCCAGTTGGACCAGCACCATTTGTTGAAGATGCTGTCTTTTTTCCATTGAATGGTTTTGGCTTCTTTGTCAAAAATCGAGTATTCATAGGTGTGTGGGTTTATTTCTGGGTCTTCTATGCGGTTCCATTGATCCTCCTTTCTGTTTTTATGCCAATACCATGCAGTTTTTATTACTATTGCTCTGTAGTACAACTTGAGATCGGGGATGGAGATACCTCCAGATGATCTGTTGTTGTACAGGATTGTTTTGGAGATTCTGGGTTTTTTGTTTCTCCATATGAAGCTGAGAATCTTTTTTTCAAGGTCTGTAAAGAATTGAGTTGGTGTTTTGATGGGGATAGCATTGAATCTGTAGATTGCTTTTGGCAGGATGGCCATTTTCACAATGTTAATCCTACCAATCCATGAGCACGGGAGATCTTGCCATCTTCTGAGGTCTTCTTCAGTGACTTGAAGTTTTTCTCTTTCACTTGCTTGGTTAGTGTCACTCCAAGGTACTTTATGTTATTAGTGGCTATTGTGAAGGGTGTTGTTTCCCTAATTTCTTTCTCAGCCCTTTTGTCTTTGGTACACAGGAGGGCTTCTGATTTTTTTGAGTTGATTTTGTATCCTGCCACTTTGCTGAAGGTGTTTATCAGCTGGAGGAGTTCTCTGGTTGAATTTTTGGGGTTGCTCATGTATACTATCGTATCCTCTGCAAATAGTGACACTTTGACCTCTTCCTTTCCGATTTGTATCCCCTTGATCTCCTTTAGTTGTCTTATTGCTCTGGCTAGGACTTCAAGTACTATGTTGAAGAGGTATGGAGAGAGTGGGCAGCCTTGTCTTGTCCCTGATTTCAGTGGGATTGATTTAAGTTTCTCTCCATTGAGTTTGATGTTGGCTATAGGCTTGCTGTATATTGCCTTTACTATGTTTAGATATGTGCCTTGTATCCCTGATCTCTCCAAGACTTTAAACATGAATGGGTGCTGGACTTTGTCAAATGCTTTTTCAGCATCTAAGGAGATGATCATGTGGTTTTTCTCCTTCAGTTTGTTTATGTGGTGGATTACATTGATGGATTTCTGTATGTTGAACCACCCTTGCATGCCTGGGATGAAGCCTACTTGGTCATGGTGGATGATATCTTTGATGTGTTCTTGGATTCGGTTTGCAAGTATTTTATTGAGTAGTTTTGCGTCAATGTTCATAAGAGAGATAGGTCTGAAGTTCTCTTTTTTTTGTTGGGTCTTTGTGTGGTTTAGGTATCAAGGTGACTGTGGCTTCATAGAATGAGTTTGGTAATGTTCCTTCTGTTTCTATTTTGTGGAATAGTTTGAGGAGAATTGGTGTTAGCACTTCTTTGAAGGTCTGGTAGAATTCTGCGCAGAAACCATCTGGCCCAGGGCTTTTTTGGAGAAGAGACTGTTAATGACTGCTTCAATTTCCTTGGGGGATATAGGGCTATTCAGTCTTTCTACCTGATCTTGACTTAATGTTGGAAGATGGAATCTATCAAGAAGATTGTCCATTTAATTTAGATTTTCAAATTTTGTGGCATATAGGCTTTTGTAGTATGACCTAATGATTGTTTGAGTTTGTGAGGCTCTTTTTTAACCCACCTGAGCTACATGTCTTTTATCTCACTGTAACTTATGTGCTAAAACCACACTTACTTTCAATTTTAGGAGACAAATCATCCAACAGCATTCTAGATTGATGTTATTTTAAGAGTGAATTGAATACCATCATATTCCTCCTCCCCCTTTTCCTCCTCCTCCTCCTTCTTCTTCTCAGTACTCTTCCATTTTCTCCCTCTGCCCTTCTAATGTTCTGCATGGATTTTTCTGCTCATTTTTAAAAGAGCATGAAAGTATTGTGGAGACACTGGCCATGATTCTGGCCAGTGTTTATTAACTCACTAAGTGCTGGTGACATTTCATAGAAGACAAGAAGCAACATGGTAGCCTTTCTCAAGAGGCAGATGCTGGGGAACAGGCTGGTTATCCAGTTCTAGACATAAATTGAGTCCTGATAGCTTTGCCCTTGCTCTTGACACCTGTGAGTGGGAACAAACCAGCAGGGATGAGCTCTCCCATGGTGTGAACAGCCTTCAGAGAATTCATTTTTGCCCATAGGAAGCACACAGTCACAAGGCAAGTGCCCAAGAAGAGACATAGATGACGTTAAACATGCCAGTGTTTGAAACAGAGATGGATATATGGTTGTTACACTGCAGTGTTCACAACTGTTACAGAAGGTTGACAAGAGAAAACTATGTTGTTCATTTTTCTTAGATCATCGTAACTCTGCTAAAGAGACAGACAAACAGACAAAGAATGGATCAAATGTTTTTTTTTTTTCTCTCTTGTACAAACATCAACACATAGAAGCTTTAAGTGAGTTAACCTGCCCAGGTCATAGGATTAATTGATAGCAGAGCCTAGGGAAAAGTGGAGTTTCATTGTAGCGTATTTTGCAAGAGTAGCAAATATTATTACTCATGTATTTTAACACTTAGAGACCATAGTGTTCCAGAAAGAGCAAAAGGATTCATGTTAACTGTATGAATGGCCTGTGTAGTTTTTCTAGCAGTGTGCTCAGACTAATGGGCCTGCCTCAAGAACATAATTTTCCATCACATGAGGAGCAAAACATTACTCCTAACAAAGGATAAATTTACAGTCATGTGAGATCGACTAGCACAGAGACTCATTACCATTTGACCAGAATTAGCTCTCTTCTTTCTTTCAGGAATGCAAGAAGGTGGCCTCTGATGATAGACCCTCAAGGTCAGGCTAATAAGTGGATCAAGAACATGGAGAAAACCAACAGTCTTCAGCTCATTAAACTGAACGACCCCGACTATGTCAGGACTCTGGAAAACTGTATCCAGTTTGGAACTCCTGGTATGTGGATGAAAACAGATGCATGCATGGAAATGCCCGGGCAGGGTACAATTAGCACATACTTTGTAATTGTTGTTTTTTTTTTAAACATCTGTGTTGGGTTTGCTATCAAGTGATGACTTTGCTGATCTCTCATTACTTATTAATAATCAAATGAGAACTTGAGGTTCTCCTGTACCCGCATGCTATTATGCCCGTGCCCTAGTTCCCGAAATAATGACTCTGAGACTTTAATATTTATGAAGAAATGCCTAGGCCATAAGCTTTGGGTGATTTCCACAGCTCATGACTTATTTTACCTGTTTGCTCTAGTCTATGTGTGTCAAATGGCTGGTTAGCTCTTCTCAGCTGTATATGTCTTCCTCAGAGTCTGGGGTGAATCTCCCCTCTGACTCTATCCCAGAGTTCATCTCTCTGTGCTGGGACTCTCCTCTCCTATTTCCTCCCCCAGCTGATAGGCCATCAGCTTTTATCATATGCATTTGTGGTTCTGCCTGTAAGTTAGCTCTTTTAATTTTTGTCTGTCATTTGCTTTTCTTCAGTTTTCATTATTAATCTTCTGCAGTTAAAAGTCCCATTTGATATCGATGTGCCAATCATATTTGAATGCAACAATAGTTCAATTTTCTGTTTCTTCTCAAATTATGCTACAAAAGTGGCAGGGAAAGTGAGTGCGATTTTGAGTGCCTAGCTATTATCTGGCATTCACAGTGGAGAGATTAGAAAAATGACAAGAATTGTTTTTAATCAAGGTCTTATGCAGGAGCCACACCTGCCAAAAGAAAATGCAGCGTTCTTGCAATTGGCCCTAATTGGGGTCCTATTTTAAGTCCGTGTAACGGATCAGAGTTAGCCAGATGAATACAGGCACTTATGAAACCACAGCATATGTAGCTCCAGGAGAAATTCCTCAGGTCGCTTCTGCTGTGAGAGCTGTACAACTGCACCAGCCATAACAAGCATGCTAGCAGTCCTGTAACATCCATGTCTATGTGCTAAGAAGCTTGCTTTCAAGCTTTAATTGTAATTTCAGGATTTTAGAGTAAGCATAAAATGAGAACTATCCAAATCTATTTTTAGGTCTTTGTATCTATGGAATGGCACACAGAAATACACACACACACACACACACACACACACACACACACACACACACACACACGGTATTGCATTCGATTGCTATTCTTGAATTTTAAACTATTTTAAATTGACACATGAATGTACACATTTATGATGTGCCACGTAATGTTTACACATACACATTCTGTCAAATCATGGAAAACATAATTATATCCCGAAACATCATTTCTATATAGTAAAAAAATTCAAAGTCTTTCTAACATTTTAGAAAAGCATACAATACGTTACTATAGTTACCTTACTATGAAATAGAGAAACTTGTATGTGAAATATTGTAGGTGTTTGTATGACCTACACAAAAAGGGAGCTATAATCCCCACTCTGAATATTTTGATTGTGTGATGTGACCCTGAGAATCATTCATGTATTACTGTAATAAAAACAGAAGGTGAGCATGCCTCATCTAAGGACCAGTGTACTATTCCAGGTAGGACCCTTGGTTCAGAGTATCTGCCTTTGCCATTCAGTGTTTGGCTCGATAACTCAGTTTTCTCACCTACACATTAGCTATGCAATGTGAGAAAGAAATTAGTATTAATTATATAGTTAGTGTCTGGTGACTGCTCAGTTCGTAGGGTTTTGTTGGTGATGTAGCTTCTGCTGGCTTTTTTTAATGGTGAGAATCACACCAGTGTCTTTGGAAAGGCTCAGCACATGCTTTGAGTATGTGATAAGTAGCTTACTTGTAATATATTAAAATATAATGAGAAAGCCACAGATGATGCTCTGTGTGAATTCATAAAAATCAGGAAGAAATCTGAACAATTTCTATAAGGAATTGTTACCTTAAATGTTTCAAGTAATTAAAATTACTTAATATAAATATTGAAATGTTTGGTATAATAAAAGACAAATGATGGCATGTCTACCATCTGCTGGGCATTCTTGACATTTCTCTGATCCCAGTTCTATGTTTTATATTTAAATTCCATAGTTATAGAGCAGAACAGGTAGTAGAGGTGAGCTACCAGTGTTTTTTAAATTCTGCATCCTAATTACGGAAAAGAAAGCTATGTCGGGTGTCTGGAGCAGCATTACGTCAGTGAGATGAAACAGAGAACAGACCTGTAGGCCACGGTATACAGGCTGGGGGTAAGCAGCGTTGCACAAACCCTGGAATATGTTTCTTACTGTGAGTTTCAGCCACAGAAATTTGGAATCCCACTGTAACTCTAACCATTTTGGTTCATTAAGAAAGTAGGCAGAGTGTCAGAGAAAGCTCAGTGGTCTCGCCAGGAGAGCATGTCTCATGAAGGGGAGTGTTAACAGAGACTCCCACCCAGGTCTTCTGTCCCTGGCTAATAATTTGTTTCATATGTCTTCTAACATTAAACACCAGAAAGAAGTGAAAAGTTTAAATTCTCATGGAAAGGTGGCAAGCTCTAGTCTATTTATATATTTAGCCATCAAGTAAAGGTTTGAAAACATGAGTGGTTAAAACTCCTTCTGTTTGAGAAGTTATCTTTAGACACCAGCCTATTCAGGGACAGCGGCTTTAGAGCTCTTGTTCCTCCCAGGCAGCCTGCGTGGCGAGGCAGAGGGCTCTGCCAACTTCATCCTCCTGCCTCCACTTCAATGACAGCATGGCTCACTCTTCTTCTTCTTTCTTTTTTAACTGAGTTTTAAAATAAGATCCTTTTTGGAGAAAAATTTTTAAAAAGATTCCATTATTTTAAAAAGTTTGACAAGCAATGACCTTGAAAGTTAAGCTGCACCTGCATTTACTGTCTCAATCAATGAAGTATATATGTAGTATGCTAATCATATAGACATTGCTGAGAAAGTCCATCTACATAGATCTTTTGAAATTCCCCATTGAAGCAGTAAGAGATAGCGTGATATCTGGACCTTCCTTATTATTTTGTCTTGACTGTCTTGAGATTGAAGCTACAGGTGGGGAAAAGTAAAGTGTCAGGGTATAAAGAGAATGAGGATTTCTCATAACTCAGTCATGCTGTCTTTCCATCCCTCCAAGGACCATGTGAGGCTTCCCTTGACATGAGTATGAAACCCCTTTTGTTGACATTTTTAGTATGAGGGTTGTGGTACAACTGAACCTAATTATAAATAACGTATGTTATCTACAGTGGGGAAACACACTAGCATGCAGTTTCCAGAGGGAAAATAAATACCTATGCTAAGAAGCTACTGAAATGCCCTCCCTAAGAGCCAGGTCGATTGTACCTTTACCCATCAGTTGGTAAGGGTGGGTGAAACTGGGCTTTTCCATCTCTTGTCTGTCCCTGTCTATACTGCTAAATTGCGGTGCTGACAGTCCATGCTTTTTAAGATGTGGGGGAGCACAGTGACAGCCTGCTGTCCAGCACTCACTTGTGCAGCATTGTGTACGGAGAGGTCTGTCAGCAGCAAGTGAGTGCCCCTTGTACCTCTGACCTCTTACAGCTTTACCGAATAGAAGATTGTAACGCGATTTAAAGTGTCCCCAAAAATGGGGTGCACATTTGATTCTAGGACCAGCGTGAACCGAATCTGGAGCAGACTTTTAGTCAAAACAGCATTCGTGATGTTGTTAATAATGATAGGGAAAGAATAACCTAGACAGTGGAAAACTAGCATAATTATTCAGTCTGATGTATTTATTTTGTTTACCTATAAAGATAACTTTGAGCAGGGAAAGGAGTTCTTAAGTTACCCAATGTGTCTCTGTTGGCCAAGATCCAAGCAAGGGGGGAGTGTAGGAAGGCAGTTGGAGAATTCGTTCAGCTAGGAACAGCCAGGGAAGGGGAGAATAGGTATGCCTGCTTAGTGCAAATGTCTATTGGTCCCTCAGTCCTAGTGCCCTCCTTCCAGATTATCCCAGTTCATTGGAGGCATACTTACAAGGCACCTGCGTTCAAGGCTGCCTGTCTAGAGGCGTAAGCACAGTCGTGTAAGATGTTAACCTTGCAGGTCAGTTAGACATTTAACACTGTCAGGGATCATTTGTCTCTGGATCCTTTCTAGAATGACTTCAGAAGGAAATATTCTAAAATGTTGAGTTTTGTTTAGAGTGCTATTAATATCTTAGAAAAGAAAAATATCCAGATATAATAATATCAAAAACAGAGCATTGGTTAAAAGAGAAGAGAACAGTAATATGTTTGTTAGTTATAATAGTATAAGACAATTTTTTTATAATGTCATGTAAAATAATTAAGACAGAAATGGATATTTGCTTTATCTCAAGTATATGTAGAAAAATTGACAGAAATATTATTGAGCTGAAAATTATTTATTAGGTAATATGTTATATGAGGTTTTGCATCATTTTTGTATCAGTATACATATGTCAACCTAAGCTATTTAATGGAGAAGAGAGAGATAAAGAAAATCTGATTAGTGGTAGTTGCCCAATTTCTTCTTTATAATTTACTGTATTTTCCAGATGTTCTATAGTATGTATGAGTTGTTTTTATAATAAACATAAGTAACACTGAAGTAGCTACCAAAATGCATTGTCTCTACCGTCATGCCTAGCTACATAGTAAGTCCCAGGCCTGGCAGAGACCACAAGCCAGGCTGGCTGGCTAGGAAGTGTCGATGCAGGTGGGTGCCCATGTGGGCCCACTCACTGATCCTTCACACAAACAAGCAGTGTTTTTATGACATCATTCCTCTGTACTTGTAGAAGATGGAAGTAACATTACAGGAAGCTAGGAGCAGAAGCAATCTGGAGAGCTGAAAGAACTCAAGAATTAAATGTTTACAGTCAATATTTTACGTATGACAGTGTATTTTTCTGCCCTCAGTGTTGCTGGAAAATGTGGGAGAAGAACTGGACCCGATTCTGGAGCCCCTTCTGCTGAAGCAGACCTTCAAGCAGGGTGGGAGCGTGTGTATCCGGCTTGGAGACTCCACCATCGAGTACGCCCCCGACTTCCGCTTCTACATCACTACCAAGCTGAGAAACCCACACTATCTCCCGGAAACATCAGTGAAGGCCAGTACCTAAGCTTCCTTATTGCATCTCCTGATCCCTGACCACTCCTCAGCCGTAAGAGGACCAGAGCATGCTAAGACTATTGGAATCTGTCCTTCTGTCTACTTCCTGAAATCGAGTGCTGGGAAGAGCGGCCATCAGAGTCTAATCCGCACAGTCAATCCTTAGCTTTTCGTTGTTACAATCAGGTGTTGCGTATCAACATGCTTTCTTTGTAATAGGTGATAATATGCTAATGACCGGAGCTGACCTTCAGAAACAGGACTCCATCCTTTCTCAGACTAAGTTGCTGCTATCCACTTTTACAGAATTATTTAAAAGAGTTGTTTTTGGTCAGCGTTCTCTTAAAGGACTAAGAAGGCTGCAACATTGATCCAAGGCGGGCCTCCCGGGGCTTTGGGGCTTCACCATACTCCCTTCCCCCATCAGCATTTGTGAGTGAGTGTGACATTTCTTTACAGAATCATGCATGTGAGGACACTATGAAATACTAAGTCTGATCTTTTAAATTGCACATAGAAAAAAAAAATCTGTCCAGTGTGCTCAGATGTTCCTTTTATTGGAAATACTTAGCACAGGCATCTCTGCTGAATGGCAGAGGTAGACTGTGGTGGTACATTCATTCACCGTGATAGGTGGGCGTGATTCCAGCTCTCCAGGTGTTCACACGTGCCCACAGCAGTGTGCGCAGACTGCGTGGAGTGTGCGGGTCAGGGACAGTGGGGGTGGGGGTGACTGCAGTGCGTCCTGGAAGCTCAGGGCACACCCATGGACCGGACACTGCGGGAGCCAAGAGGCCGTGAGGAGACGGGTGTGTACAGCTCAGCTTGACTTTGGAAACAGTGGAAATGCTGTGGCTACTGTTTCTAATCAGCTAAACAGTATTACCTAAGCACTGGAAAACACCTAGTCTCTAGACATGAAGACTGAGACTAGCAGAGTTAAGTGTGTGGATTTGAACGGCTGCTCTGTCACAGACATGGGCACATCGCTTCACTTCCCCGGGCGTCTGTTCCCTCATTCGCAAATGATCATAATGAAAGTTTCTATGTCACTGAGTGAAGTGAAAAGTAAACAAGTTAGTCTCCATGAAATGCTCAGGATGAGGGCTAGGGCTAGTGGACAGCGTTCATATGAGTGTTACCCATTGGCATGACTATCTAATTTCCAATATAAGGAGAAAAGAATAAAACATAAGAGGAAATAAAATCCTAAGGCTGTGTTAAGAAAAAAATTAATAAACCGCATGAAAAGAGCCTTTTTACTTTCCGTTAAAGTGCATGACAGCCTCGCATAGAGCGTGAACAGCCCTTGGTTGGATAATAACCGGTTATGACAGAAATTGTGAGACACGGCGGGGAGGACACTGAGCCGTGTATGATTCAGCATTGAAATCCCTATGATCTCCACAGTGTTTTATTGCTCCATTATTTTAATTGCTGGGATTGATTAAACGGGGATTAGGAAGCTTGGTGAGGTAGTTACTTGCTTTCATTTACAAATTTAAGTAATCCCCTCACTCCCACATTTTAGGGCCTTTCATGTACCTTTAGCTTCCAAAAGCACCCAAGGGAGAATGCCATGCTACTCTCTTCCTTTTGAGTCTGGATAAAAGTGAAATCATGATGCTCTGTTTGTAAAGTTTGAAATGGTGTGTGAACATGTGGCTACATTTGCAAAATCTTGGTTTCAAAGATTTGACATTATTAGGCTTGTAATGCATAGGTCTGTGTCTGAATGCATCGAAACATCTTACTAGAACTATTTTTGCATGAAAATGGCTATACCCTGTATAGTTGATTTCTCATTCGGGATTAATCTGTTAATAGGATCAGTTACGATTTTTTATGATAATTATCTCATCTAAATCTATGATTGCATCCATATAAACTATACCTAGTGGCATTGGCTGAGCACAGGAGGGAAAAGATCAATGGAGAAGACCCTAGCATGAAGCTGGAGTCTGGGTTTGGGTGGGAGAAGTCAGTCACCTTTCTAGAGAGGTCAGGGGAAAGGTACTTTGCACTTAATGCCCCAGGTAGCAGATTTCCCTACAAAAACCAGGTCCCTGCAGAGGGGTAGTCTCTTGCCAGCCAAGGCAGGGAAATGTGGTGTCAACTGTAAAGCAGTCAGATCTCACAATGCTGAAAAGACAGAGACAAAAATAGGGAACCATGGCATCAGCAACAGCACTCCGCACTTCCGTCTGGAAGAAAGGGCAACCTGTGGGCCTGGGCAGTGGCCCCAGCTCACAAGCCAGGCAAAACCACCAACACTCTACAATCCAGAGAGCTAAAAGAATAACATTGACCCTCACCCGGAAGGCAAAGAGTGGCGCCTCATGCCATGGCCCTGCAGTTTGTACCTAACGTAAATACTGAGCTGAAGAAGGCTGGAGTCTGACCTTCAGTTCCTGCGTGGGGAGCAGAGTCTGCAAGCAGAGAGCAGCAACTGCTTCTCTTCCCTCTCTTTCCTGCCCCTCCTCCATTTCCCCTTCTCCCTCATTCCTCCTCCTCCTTGCCTTTCCTACTTTCCCTTTCCCCTTTGTTCTCTGTGGCTGAAAAAGAAATTTCCAGAGAATATTAACATATTTGTTGGGAAGAACCAAGAAAGGGAGAATTATAAAGATGTGGCCAGTGTATGGGCATACACAACCAGACCACCCTCTCCACTAATTAGGTACCTGAATGGAGTAAGAGTCAGCAGATAGCCCTTGATGGGCCCTATTAAAGTGCAAATTTCCCAATATTTTTTCTTGCAGGGTGGTGGTTCATTAACACAAAAATACTTCACTCATAGCATATCAATGCCGTGTTCTGTTTTCTCCCTCAAGATTGTTTCCTATGACACCTCTAGGAGTCTAAATTAAGAATCAGTCTAGACTGTGTTAAGGGTTGTTTCCAACCTCATTCTTGTTGATCTCACTGTTAAAGAATCATCAGAAATTTGACCAGTTTGGATTGGGAATAAACTGTTATAAGTATTCAATTTCTGACTGTTACAAACTTTTTTGAGTTTTTAATCCCTGTACCTTTGGCTGTATTTTCTATGAAGTTTGCTTTCACACATATGATGCCACAGTATGTGCTCAATGAACGGAACCTCGTTACCCACACAGAAGCTTTCTCAGTGGAAAAAGCAATGTGTTTTCAAGATCTATTCTTTAACTTGTAGGTCACATTATTAAACTTCATGATAACTCCAGAGGGAATGCAGGACCAGCTTTTGGGGATTGTGGTGGCACGAGAAAGGCCAGACCTCGAAGAAGAAAAGCAAGCCTTAATACTACAAGGAGCCGAGAACAAAAGGTTCGAAATACATGAAACACAGAATTATTACTTATTTTGTAGTTATAATAACATTAAGCATCTATTTAGTTAGATTGAATATGCATACCAAATGGGCATTTGTTTTAAAGGTTAATTTTTAGTTAGATTGAACGGGCATACCAACTGGAAATTTGTTTTAAAGGTTATTTTTTTCTGTATTTATTAAATTTTTGTCTGCGTGTCATGTGTGTGTATGTCTAGGGGACAAAACAGGTAGAAAATGGCATAGGAACCCTTGGAAATAGAGTTACAGACAACTGTGATCTGCTTGACATAAGTGTGCTGGGAATTGAACTTGAATCCTCTGGAAGAACAACTGACTCTTCTGAGCTACTCTATCAAATGGAAAAGTTTTTCATGCAGGGAAGGGCCTACAGAATTTCTACATTAATTTAGAAAACGACATGCCTGAGCCTTTTTCTCTGACAGAGGGAGAACCAGGGGGCTTGCGGCAGACATGGGCATGGGTTTTCGGTTCCTCCAGCAAAGGCGCTGCGCAGAAGTTTCTGTGTTCACTGCGCACCCGAGGTGACCTGTTTTCTTTGGAGCGCGGCGTGAATGAATGCGCAAGCTCTCCGAGTCCTGTCAAAATGCAGGAAGTAAAGGAGTGGTGCCTTGTGCTCCCTCCGAGCTGAGGCACTGGGTGGCAGAGGGGACTGGCTCGCCCCCCATCTCTCCCAGGGTGTCACGTGAGCGACTATTAGCGAGGGAAACAGAGCGGGAAGACTGTCTTGGTGACATTTCAACGGATAATAAATTAATTTCACAGCATCCCTTTTTCGGTTATTTGTCACGGCATGATGCATTTTCGTAGGTTACAAGGTCTCTGTTTCTTAGGAAAGACTGCATATTTCAAGTGATTTTTAAACCATTTCTTTTTGTGCCTCATTCCAGGCAGTTAAAGGAAATAGAAGACAAGATTTTAGAAGTTCTTTCATCTTCGGAAGGCAATATATTAGAAGATGAGACTGCGATTAAGATATTATCTTCCTCCAAGGCTTTGGCTAATGAGATCTCTCAAAAGCAGGAAGTAGCTGAGGAGACAGAGAGAAAGATTGACAACACCCGCATGGGCTACCGCCCCATTGCCATCCATTCTTCCATCCTGTTTTTCTCTATTGCTGACTTAGCCAACATCGAGCCCATGTACCAGTATTCGCTGACTTGGTTTATTAACCTTTTCATTCTGTCCATTGAAAATTCAGAGAAATCAGAAATCTTAGCCAAAAGGTAGGTAAAGTAAAAGCTAATTAATTCTACATTAGGGAAAATGATGGCTTTGATTATTGTTTCAGGATGCCATGAGCATCGCGGCCACGAACCTAAAGTGATCTTAAGTCATCATTTTCATAAATAAACTGTGGAATTGGAAACAGAGCATGTGTGTAACTTTAGCTGGGACACAGCTGTTTTCAGAGCTGTAGGCGAAGGGACTCTAGCCACCATGAGCACAGTAAACATGGCTCTGGCAGGCCTTGCCCTTCCCCTGTCCCTCTGCCTTGCTAAAATCTGTTAGATAACATTCCTATAGCTAACCCCCAAGGTCTGTTCCCTTATTTGGCCACCTTCTTCTCCTAAGGCTCACTACCAGGGTCCAGTTATCAAAGTATTGAAGTCCAACAATCGGAAGCCCCATTTGGCTACCCTAATTAACAATTAAATTTAAACACCTCACCCTGACATAAGTTATGACTTGCCCATGGGCCACGTCTGTCTCCTTTCTCTCCAGCGGCCTCCCACCCCCGAGTGCTCCTTCTTCCTCTCCCTTGTTCCTTTCCTTTTCTCTCTCATCCTAGAGCTCCCGTCTTTGTCTCTTTTTTCCTGCCCTTTTTCTCTCTGGGGCAAATGAATCTCCTTTGTGCTGAGAATTTGGTCTTGGGGTGTCCTGAGCCAATATTGATCCTTTCAGTAGAACTGTAGTATAATTCTAGAACTAGGAAACGGTTTCCTCTAGTTACGACTTGCAGATATTCACATAGCTTCTTTATATTACGCTTATCTACAGAAAACATCTTGTTTACCACTGACTGGTATATAAAAAGCAAAAATATTAAGATCTTGCTTCACTTTAAGTCAACGAGAGGATAAAATTCATTTGATTTGTTGTTAGCAAGAAAAAAAGTTCTGTTTAGGATTTGTTTCTAATGTTTAGGGTGAGTTTTTCTAGTTCTTGAAGTTTTCAGGTTAGTGAAGAATACTGAAGAAAAAAAAACTGTAGGTGACTTTTCTTTTAAAAAGTTTTTATTGAGCAACAGAACAAGATAATTTGAACACAGGGAAGTTCCCAGAGACTCATACTCCAACCAAAGACTATTCGTGGAGATAACCTAGAAGCTCTGCACAGATGTAGCCCATGGCAGTTCAGTGTCCAAGTGGGTTACATAGTAATGGGAAGAGGGACTGCCTCTAACATGAACTGATCGGCCTGCTCTTTGATCAGCTCCCCCTGAGGGGGGAGCAGCCTTACCAGGCCACAGTAGAGGACAATGCAGCCACTTTTGATGAGAACTGATAGACTAAGATCAGAAAGGAGAGGAGAACCTCCCCTATCAGTGGACTTGGGGAGTGGCATGCATGCAGAAAGGGGAGGGAAGATGGGATCAGGAGGGGAGGAGGGAGGGGCTTATGGGGGGATACAAAATGAATAAAGTGTAATTAATAAAAAATTTAAAAAAAAGTTTTTATTGAATTAGATACACACATCTGTTTTCTACACTGGATTTGAAGTTCTGAGGCAGGGTGTTTATTTTCATCAGTGTGTGTATGTGTGTGTGTGTGAGAGCAAGACAGAGAGAGAGAAAGGGGTGCTTATATGTTATGGTAGGAACCTGGTGCAGCATACCTGTTTTCCCTGCTTGTTCAGTCCTGTGGTGCCGCGTCCTCCAGGCTAGCTGGCCTGGGGTAGCAGAGGCCAATCTCTTTGGAATCACACAGTGCCACACTAAGCTCTTCATGGCCTCTCGGTGTTTGAACTCAGGTCATCAGTCTTGCCTGGCAAGGGTATCTCATCTGCTCAGTCATCTCTCTGTTTCACAATGTTCCTTTTCACTGAAGTTCTTAATTTCAACCTTGTTTAACATGATGGCCAGCCAGGTGGTGGTAGCACGGTGCAAAGGCAGGTGGATCTCTGGAGTTTGAGGCTAGCCTGGTCTACAAAGAATGATTCTAGGACAGCCAGGTTTACACAGAGAAACCCTGTCTCATAAAACCAAAAAAACAAACAAACAAACAAACAAATATAAACAAGCAAACAAACAAAAAAATAAAACAAACAAAATCAATTGCCACTACAGTGTTGTCTTCTATGTAGTTTAGAGTCTAACTGTTTACTGGAGTCTAAGATGAAGATTTCTCTGGCCACCCCTGAAATGCACATTTTTTTGATATAGGATTAAAAAAATTATGATTCCAAGCTTCAAACACACTTTTTATCTTTCACTTTTTTTTTTTTTTCTAACAAATTAGAACTCAGTCGAGGTGTCAATTTTTTTTCATTCTGGTAACAAAGCCCTTGAAATTTTAATTGATTTTCTTTAGAAAATCAAATCCCTTTACCTTACTATAATATTTGGAGAAGAATGTAGAAAACAAACACAGCTTTTTATTTGTAGTTAAAATCCTTAATCTGTAACAATGAAAACCGGATGTGTGAATACTGTAAATGTGAAGTATATAAGACTAATAGAGCAGACAAATCTAAATTCTTCCTGAAGATAGCACTGTGCCTACAGAAATGTGCAGAAACCAAGTTTCATCAGGGAGCATCCCTGTGTAAGTAGCACCCAGCCTCAGACAGAGCACTCCCAGCATCCCACAGACCTCCTCTCATCCCCTGTAGTCTCTGACCTCCCTCCCCCAATGCAGCTGGTGTCCAGTTTACAGCCCATGAGCAGCTTCGCCTGTTTTAGAAGCTTGTCTAAAAAGAGTCACCACATGTGTTCTCTGCGGATGGCATTTCCCATGCAACCCCTCATCCGTGGGACTCAGGCACATCATTTTGTGTAGAGCAGTATCTCGTTCACCTTTATTTTCATCCATGTGTGCCTATTTTTACGGAAGGCTAATTAAAATTTAAATCTTTTCCTAACCCAGGCATCCTCTCCAGAAAGGCATTAGAAAAAAAAAAAAAAAAAGAAAACCAAATAAGCATTAAACCAGAGTGTGCTCTGCATCACAGGCAATCTGCAGGGAGACTGCAAAGCAGAGCTGTCTCACCCCTTATAGTAACCAAGCACAAAGTCACACTTAGTTCATCCTCCTCTGCCTGCCTAGGGAGGGGACCATCTGTGTTAGCAAATTAACTTGATCAAGAGGAAGAGCAGACTTTTCACACTTACACATGAGGAGACGACTTTGCATCTTAAAGCAAGGAGTCCACCGAAGTTAGCCCCTGCCCCTGCCCTTGTGCGGAAGTTGGGTTTATGTTTCAAAGGAATGGCTTCCTGACACTTGGCTGACATTTATGGTTTTCCTGGGTCTTAAAGCAAGTCCTGACCAGGTTTTGAAGTGATTTTTTTTTTTTTAAATATCATACATTTCACAGCTGACCCAAATGACTCAGTAGGGAACAACCCTTGCTTTGCAAACCTGACCTGAGTTCCATCCCTAGGCCCATGGTGGAAGGAGAATGGACTCCTGAACGTTGTCCTGTGACCTCCACAGGTGCACTCTGCGTGTGCCCACACTTATCTCTCACACACACAACAATAAATGGAATTTAAAAAGTTAAAAACATCAGAGAGTAGGAAATACCTGGAAAACATTAAATTCTTTAATTTGAGGCTCAAAGAAAAAAGAGGTAAAAGGGAGATTATTTCTTTATTTTCAGCAGGAGAAAGAAGCCCTTCAGCTATAATTTTTACATATTTCCTTCACCTGACACTGTACCTGAAATTATTGATCCCTTCTGCTCTTGAGAATGTTGCCTTGCAGCTTATGGCCACAATGATGTCTGCTGGCCTGCTCCTTGTGCATGGCTTTTGGTGCCGACCCAAGAAGCTGTGCTGGATGGAATGGAATGGAACTGTCAGGGGACAAACATTTGTATGCACTCTCTTGTCACACCCAGAGCCTGCTAGATGGTCCTTTTGATCATTTTCCCCCAGCAAAATAAGAGTTCTAATTCAAAAGCTACTGCTGATGAAAGATTGAAGAGAGAATAACTTCTCATAGAAATGACTCGTGATCTCCCAGTTACTGACAAATATGGCATTTGTGGGACTTTAGCAGCATTAGTCTCAGCTATCCTCCAAGCACAAAGAATCATGGGACTCTTCACATTAGCCTGCACACCAAAGTCAGGTTTTTTGACCTTAGTATTGCTCTAGTATTCCTTTTTATTCCTCCTCTGAAGTATAGAAGTATACTCCATATTTGCTTTTTGATGGCTTATGCTTCATGATCATTTTGTGTGACACCAAGAATATATCATGAGCGTTATGGCAGACAGTGTGAAATTGCCATAAAACTTGCATTCTTTGTGAAAACTGATGCATTCGTGTTTATGTCGGAAATACTAACTTCACTGTAGTTTAAAGGGTTTAAGTAGGGTATTGTGTTATTAAAGAGGTCAAGCTACAACTTTATCTACATATGTCAGATGCACACGTGTGAGTGTGTGTATGCACAGTGTTCTTGTTTCCTTTCTACGTCTATTTACTTCCATAGCTATTCCTCTGTAACACAATTTTTAGAAGCTGCACAACAGACCATGTTGCAGGTGTGTTTTGATAAGACTTGTAGGTACTATAAGTACTGTTAGAATAAATACAAATATCCACACTGTTAACTATTTTCCTGATTTAAGTTGCTTCCCTATAAGTTTATTTAAATACATAGCCACATTAGAGAAACATGAATCGTCTCACATTGTTATATCACTTATCAACACCGAATGATGATTTTTGGTCTTATAGCCCCACTGAAATATTGAAATGCAGTATAGTTTATTCTAAAGTATCGTAAGAATAACCATACTTTGTCACTAGTGAGATTGAATCTGAGCTTCAGCTAGTTTTGGAGGAAGGCTAAGGACCGGGAAGGCTGTGAGGACGCTGCAAGGAGGTGGTAGCGGGTGAGACTGCAGCATGGCTAACGACTGCTCACAGCCTTTTCTCCTTCCCCGCTGTCATGCGCCATTTTCTAGAATTATACCAGAGAGCCCATTTTTAAAGACGTGCGCTAAACTGCTCGTGCAAGACCAGTGACTCCTGGTTTTACCTCATCAGATTCTCCCACTAAAGGCAGCTTTGGAGCCACCTCAGGTGTCTCTCATAGATGTAGAAATGTAAGCTAAATAAATGCTTTCTTCCCCCACTTGCTTTTTGGTCATGGTGTTTTGTCCCAGAAATAAAGACCTTAACTAAGGCAGTAACCCTCTCAGATACACCTTGAGGACCACCAGAAAGTTATACAGGGCTGACGCTAAGACAGTTAGTTGCTTGCTCTCCCCCAGAGAAGCCTGTACTACACTTGGGTCCCTCTTACTGGCTCCTGCTTTCCCATGGGAAGCACTGGAGTGTCTCAGTATTCATTTGTGCGTAAGCCTCTATCAAAATATTTTTAATAAAATCACCAACTTTGCTTTATAAACTGGCAATTCCTTAAATTTATTTTAGCATTGCAGCCAAGGGAGCTGAGGTGCCTAACAGAACAAGGGGATGCCTCTTCCTCTGGCCTGGTAAGGCTGCTCCCCCCCCTCAGAGGGAGGTGATCAAAGAGGAGGCCAATGAGTTCATGTCAGAGACAGTCCCTGTTCCCATTACTAGGGAACCCACTTGGACACTGAACTGCCATGGGCTACATCTGTGCAGGGGTTCTAGGTTATCTCCACGCATGGTACTTGGTTGGAGTATGAATCTCAGGAAAGACCCCTGTGCTCAGATTTTTTGGTTCTGTTGCTCTCCTTGTGGAGCTCCTGTCCCTTCCAGGTCTTACTATCTCCCCTTTCTTTCATAAGATTCCCTGTACTCTGCCCAAAGTTTGGCTATAAGTCTCAGTATCTGCTTTGATACCCTGCAGGGCAGAGCCTTTCAGAGGCCCTCTCAGAGGAAGACAGTACAGCCACTCCTGATGAGACCTGATAGACTAGGATCAGAATGAAGGAGAGAAAGGCCTCCCCTATCAGTGGACTTGGGGAGGGGCATTCGTGAAGAACAGGGTGGGAGGGTGGGATTGGGAGGGGAAGAGGGAGGGGCTTATGGGAGGATACAAAAGGGGGAGGGGAGGTGGGGCTGGAAGGGGAGGAGGGAGGGAGCTACGGGGGGGGGATACAAAGTGAATAAACTGTAATTAATAAAAATAAAAAGATAAAAAATAAATTAATTAAAAACAAAAAGAATACTACAAAGAATCAGCGAAGCCAAGAGCTGGTTCTCTGAGCCTGAAATCTGAAGCTATTTATTTTGTAAAGTATTTTTTAAAAAGGCATTTGCCATTTCTACTAGGAAAACTATTTGGGAATGCAAGGATGCAAAGAGTAAGATAATTTTGAGTTAATAAAAGCAAACTTTAAAAACAACAACCACAACAAAACAAAACAAAAAACAAGGGGGCGCCTTAGGCTGCTAGCAGTGTAGGAGGTCTGTTCCCTCCGCTTTGGCATTTTGATCGGTAAGATAATTCCCCCCCCCCCCCATTTTTATCTACCAGAGAAAACTGGTCTTGGAGTCTACACCTCACCTCTGTCTCAGGAAGACAGCTTCGAAGTCACTTTGTAGTAATGAATTATCCTACTACAGGACAAACAGGTTTCATGTGTGAAAAGATCTGTTGACAGGACAGTGGAAACAGGAGTAGAATGATTATTTTAAATCTAAAACTCAACTATATTTCAAGTACTTCCGTCTTACCACACTGTCTTTTTTTCCCAGCATTCTCAGGTAGAAATATGATGCATCCATTTGCTGTCATTCTCTGGATGACAGTGCCGATGGGGTAAAATAGTTACAGAAATGTGCAAGAGGAAAAATGGAAGCAAAACACCATTAGGATGAGTCAAAGTCAAGGACAGTAGTCCGAAAATAGCTAAGATCTTGTCACAGATGGGCAGATATTTTTTCCTTATTTCTTTAAGAAATACCAGTATAATTTTGAATACTAATAAACTATGTTGTTTTTCCCTCAGATGATTGGTCTGTTTAGAGGGTCTGAGCCGTTAGTGTTGGGTCTTTAGCTCTCTACGAATGTTTTCTGTCAACATAGGTTAAAATTATAGTTTCTGTGTCGATGCAATAAATGCATTTAAATTTTTTTATTTCAGGGATATTTCATGTACTAGTTATATTAAAGTGAATGCAACATTGTATTGACATTAGGAACTATTACAGATGTAGCTCATACACACTACACTGATTATGCCTATGTTCATGTTTTCTGGCAGCAAGTAGAAATGTAGTTTAATCAAATCTACTGATTGTTCTAGCTTTGAGAGAGTCATGTGCACTCTAGCACAGCATTAGGCTTTGCCATTAATTTAATACAAGTTATTAGTTTTATTCATTTAATATACTATAAAATACTTGTTAAGTGTTCACTTTATAAAGAGGTCAGATTTTGCCTCCTAATACAATGCTTTGTAGTTTAAAAGTCTGTAAATTTTTTAATGGCTTAAGATGCCAAGCACTTTTTTTCCATTTTAAAAATTATTTATTCACTTTATATCCTAATTGTAGCTCCCTCCCTCCTCCTCTTCTGTTCCCATCCTTCCTTTCTCTTCCTCAGTCCCCCTCCTCTATTCCTCAGAAAAAGAGTCTTCCCCCCACCCCCGAGCACATCATCTTCCCCAGTGGCCTGGCTAGGCAGCCCCAATGGGGGGGTGGTGGTCAGAAAATAGGCAACAGAGTCTATGTCAGGGACATCCCAAGCTCCCCTTACTAGGGTACACACTTGAAGCTGAGCTGCCCATCTGCTACATCTGTGTAAGGGACCTAGGTCCAGTCTATGCATGGTCCTTGGTTAGTGCTTCAGTCTCTGCAAGCCCCTCTAAGCCATGGTTAATTGGCTCTGTTGATCTTCTTGTGGTACTCCTGACACCTCCTCTCTTTCCTTCTTTCTTTCTTTCTTTCTTTCTTTCTTTCTTTCTTTCTTTCTTTCTTTCTTTCTTCCTTCCTTCCTTCCTTCCTTCCTTCCTTCCTTCCTTCCTTCCTTCCTTTCTTCCTTTCTTCCTTTCTTATGATTAAGTTAAAAAAGAAAGATCAGCCAACAGTAATATGCAATTCAATTCAAATTCTTCTACCTTGTCTAACTCTCAAACTGGTGAACCCAAGGAGTGAAGATCTTTGGGTGGGTACTGACAGAAATCGTTAACACACACATCTAACAGTCTGTCCTAAGCAAGGTCAGTATTGTCTTCATGCCTGTGTTCCCTCTTCTGCCTGTGTTGGCTTTTAGGCTTCAGATTCTCAAGGATCACTTCACTTACTCACTCTATGTCAACGTGTGCCGGTCACTCTTTGAAAAGGACAAGATGCTGTTTTCCTTCTGTCTCACTGTGAACCTGCTGATACATGACAATGAGGTCAGTAAGGGCTCAGTCTGTAGGAGCTCCGATCCTATTGTTATAGGAAGATGGGCTCGAGGGTGCACAGTGTCTAAGATTTTCTGTGTCTCCGTTAATACAAGTTAAAAACTAATTCAGAGATCTCAGCTGTAGGCCCAGTTGTATCTAACTTAAGTGTAAGAAGAAGAAATGATAGTATATAATATCCTAATCTTTGGGGCAGGTTAGAATATCATGTCTTTCCCTGGCCAGAGGTAGAAATTGAATTCTTATAATCAGAAAGAGTAGCTTTCCCAGACTAGGCCTCAGCAAAGCCCCAAAACCTTCACAATTTTATGTGGTAAAATTGAAGGTGAGATTTAAAGCTTACCATGAGGGAAGAGCCAGATCATGCTTCTCTAGCTATGTAACACGATCATGATATCATTGATTTACTTACTAATCCACTTGGGAATATAAACATACACTATAATGATAAAAACCAGACAATGAAATTAATGAAGGCAAGTCAAGACATTACAAGACTGAATTTCACAGTTAATATAAATTAGGAAGAGTATGCTACTATCACTTAAATTTTTATATTTTAGTTTAAAAGTTGTGTCTAGAGCCTGGCGTAATCCCCACATTTAGGGAGCTAGGGCAAGTCTGAACAGACGCAAGACTGCAGTGAGAGTGAGGACAATCTGATCTACATAGCAATACCCTGTGTTCAAAACAAAACAAACAATAAAAATCTTGTTTCTACTGGAACCTCACATGACTGTGCATATAACTTCACTAAATAATTTATTTTCATTTTTAAGAACTTGTGCAAGTTACTCTAATCTAACCATTTGAATTTAACCACCTTACTCATATGTAAACTAACTTTAAATTCCCTTTATCTAAGAGATAGGAAGTACTTTACAAATGAAAAGGAAGCAAGAATAGTTTTTTTTTTTTTTATACATTTATGTATTTAAGACTGGTAGAATTTCATATCTTGATGGAATCAGGAAAAATATTTTTCTTGTAACAATAACTCATTGTATTTTATAGAAATAAATGAAAGGATGGTGGATTGCTGGCTTTCTACATTTGTATGATTTTTTTCAAAGCCAATATTTAGGACTGTAAGCATCCATTTTGAAGAACATATATTATTCAAGTAGAATATATTCAGGCCTTCATGTTTAAGCTAGTAATTCTGGAGAAAATGATCAAAAAGTAGCTATTTAAGTAGAACTATTTTTTTTAACTAGTCATATTCAGTAGCTGGATTTTTTTTGTGACTAAATAGAAGGCCATATTAGCTGTGGAATTTCATAAGAATCTGAAAGGAACTTTACTCTTTTGCAATGGCTGTAAAATCACTACAAAGATTTTCTGCACGACTCTCTGGATTGTTTGTTTTCCACAGATTAACAAGCTAGAGTGGAGATTTCTGCTCACGGGTGGCATTGGGCTGGACAACCCTTATACCAACCCTTGCCCATGGCTCCCTCAAAAGTCCTGGGATGAAATCTGCCGACTAGATGACTTACCTGCCTTCAAGACCATTCGGAAAGAGTTTATGCACTTAAAGGACGGGTGGAAGAAAGTATATGACAGTTTGGTGTGTTTTCACCTCTTTTCTATTTCCAAAGATTTTAAAGTTTACAAGATAATGTTAAATAGCACATCTTTACCTTTGTATAAAAGCAAGATTTTATAAGTAAATGAAAAAAAAAGTAATGAAAAGGAAAGGAAAGGAAAGGAAAGGAAAGGAAAGGAAAGGAAAGGAA